ATTTTTTTTTATTTTTTTAGGTACTAATAAGTTTGCAGGCGAGTTTGGGCAAGTCGAGCAAGGTTTCAGCATCACCTAACATACACTAGGCGTTGGGGCAGGCGACGCTAGGATAAATCCGGCCAAAGCTGGCCTTAGGATGGTGACACCTGGCTAACGCTAGGTTCTGCTTGGCCTTAGACTGGCGACGCCTGGCTAACGCCAGGTTCTGCTTGGCCTTAGGCTGGCGATGTCTGGCTAACGCCAGGTTCTGCTTGGCCTTAGGCTGGCAACGCCTGGGTAACGTCAGGTACTGGTCCAGGCGATGCCAGGTAAGTTATTTCGGCCCAGTTTAAGTTATTTTAGTCGAACCTCCTCACATTACATGCCCTAAACACTGAACACAATGCAAACAACCCTAACCTCACTTAAACCAAACACACATCAAGCTTTAGAAAAGAAATTCACAAGCACACACATCTTCTCATCAGCGTTGCTCTCAACAAAACACACTGCATGAATTGCCCTCACCCACAAACACTCAACAACACATTGCCATAGTGGTCTCCCCCATCCCCATTGAAGTTAAGTTTAGTCTTTCTATGCTTTCACACTCATCAGAAATTCTCAAGCAACTCCCTCCTCTCAAAAGCTTCAAAGGTATGATTTGATCTCTTTCCTTTGTAATTTCGAGAAGGGTACAGGTATACAATTACACACAAAAATTGGTGGTTGTTCTTCATTGTAGTATTGAGTTTGTGTGCCCCAACCCCATGAAACCCCATAGGAATTGTGCTGCGATTTTGAAAACATATTGTCGTACAGAACCCCCAAGCCGATTTGGGAGGATGAGGCCAATGGGAGTTTGGCATCAACAACATACCACCACATACTAAGGACTAGTACATGCGTTGTAGGCCTAAACATGTACACCCGGAAGCAGCTATCAATGAACGCAGCTTGAAAGCAAAGTATCAGGCAATTTGGAAGGGTATTTAGGATATGGGGTTGAGCTATGTATTCAACAACACATGGAACATTAATCTCAACTTAGTTCGAGAATTCTATGCAGGGTTTGATCCGCAGAGTACTGAACAGCTGGTGCCGATTCGTGGATGATTGATAGAGTTTTCACCCACGGTCATATGTAACTTTTTAGGTGCTCCGGATGTTCTTGTGGAGCCATTGGACCACTTCATTTGCTGGCCTACTTACAGAGAGTTGAGACACATGCTTTGTGGTACCGATTCTACGACAGCATGGGTTCGAGATAAGATAACTAATCGGCACAAGAGGTTTCCCAAGAAAAAGATGAGGGCGGAGGCTCAAGTGTGTCTTAAATTGATAAATGCACGGCTCCTACCGTGCAATCATGACACACTCATTAGCCGTGAGAGGACCTATGTACTCTACTTCCTCATGACGGGTCAAAGGTTAAATGTGGGTCATCTGATCCGCTACCAGATGTCTGTAGTCAGAACGAGTAAAAAGATCGATCGAATGCCATTTGCCAATTTTCTAACTCAGTACTTAAGACACGAGGAGGTTGAGGAGGAGCCAGAGTTTGACCACACCATCGATCAGCCCCTACGACAAACGGACATCAGTAGCCTCCGGCTGAAAGAAGAGACTGCCATGACATCGTTGACAAGTACCGAGCCAACGCTCGGGATGATAGTTTTATGGCCCATCTCTCTGGGATGATGGATTTGCAGCTAAGGATAGGAGGTCGACAGACCACATCTAAGGAGAGGACTGAATTGGAGCACCGGTACTAATGAAATAAGGAGAAAGGTGAACTTTTTTGAAAAAAAAGAGTAAGAGCCGCTTGAATTGAAAAAGAAAGAAAGAAAGAAAGAAAAATAAAATAAAAATAATAATAATTGTATTGCTTGGAAAAAGAATATTCTTTGATAAGTGGCGACTCTTAATGTAATTATGCTTAAAGAAATATGGGGTAATATAAATTGAAGTGAAGGTGGAATGTTTGGTTTGGCATAAGTATGGGATATGTGTCAAAGTATATGTATTGAAGTACTTAAGGGAGGTGTAGTCACTCATTATCAAATGTATCCTACCCGACCCGCAACCTACATTACAACCAATGAAAGTCCTACTTGATCTTAGACTGAATGCACTCGATTAGTAGAGTATTACACTACGGGCAAGCCTATGGTGCATCATTTGTGGCATAAGAATGTTATTTCTCAGAGCAAGTAAATTTTGTCTATCTTGAGTTCTTATATTCTTAAAATTCATTGTGTGTAGAACTAAGCTCTTTGATTGGGTGAGGGCACATAATTTATGAAGGAAAGGTAATGTTATTGACATCCATGTTAGAGTAAGTAAGTGAATTGTGAATAAGACATGGTATTTGTGAGCCGAATCTTGAGGCGAGGATGTCACACTTGTGTTCTTAAACTATTTTAAAAATAATTCTTGGTGTAATCAGTTAGGAGAATTGCTTAAAAAGGTCGGGTCTATAAGTGTAGTTTGATTGCTCGAGGACGAACAATGTTTAATTGTGGGGTATTGATATGTGACTATAATTCCATAGTTTTATACATTATGTGTCTTGCATTTTACATGCTTTAATGATAAATTATACTTTATTTGCACATAAAGGAATTTATTTTATGTGTAGGTGAATTGGAGATGAAAGTAGAGCAAAAGGGATACTTAAACGTTGAAAGTGTGCTCGAGAACAATGAAAAGGAGAGACCTGGCGAGGCCAGCCAAAAGCCAGGCTGAACCAGGCTTTAGCCTGGCGAGGCCAGCCAAAGGCCAGGCTGAACCAGGCTTTAGCCTGGCGAGGCCAGCCAAAATCTAGGCGTTAGGCTGGCGACGCCAGGCCTTAGGCCAGGTCCAATCCGAGTTTTGAAGACTTAATTCATTTTCGGATTTGACTAGGACTTGGCCTACACGTTTAGGGTTTCTTCTACATATATAAATAGACCTAAAAACACCACTTGGAGGAACTTTTGCAGCCAGAGGCAAGAAGAGCTGGTGGAATCACCTGTTGGGAGTTAGAATCATCAATTTCTACAGCTTTTCATCTTTACTTTGTATTTTAATTATGCAAAATATTTGGAATATTGTTACTATGAGTATGAGTAGCAAAATTCCTAATCTAGGGTTTTGATAGAACCTATTGAAGGATGATTTTCTTGTTACGTTAATATAGATTTGCCATAGTATTTTCTCTATTTGTTCAACTATATTATTCTTGTGGTTGATTGAAGGGCCCTCAATTAGCTGTGCCTATTTAGTATGTATTACTCGGAAGAGAGTGCATATTTAGGTAGTTGTTGAATAACATCACTCCTAAACGTATATGAAGGATCAATACAGAGATTTAAAGGTGGGTATAGGGATAACGAAACCTTGGTGCGATCTGAGTGAGCTGTACTTAATGCCAGCTAACGTAATTCGGGAGAATATGCCTAGTAAATTGTGGTAATTACTCGGGAGAGAGTTACGACAGTTAGGGTGCTCATGGTCGATAGAGAAGACTTAGGCAAATTTGTAGAAAACGTAGCGGAAAAGATTTCGACAATAGGGGAAATCACAACCTTAGATCATTCCAATTCTTGTTTACAACCCGTTCGTAGTTAGTTGTTAATTATTATATTTTCACTACGTAATATTTAGTTAATAAAACCCAATCTTTTACTTAAATATTTCTGAAGATTGATTGTGTGAATTTGTGCGAGTATAGTAGCTGTGTTTGATAGGTTAATTTCCTAGGGATTCGACTCCGGACTTATTAGCCGGAATATATTTGCAACGACCGCTTAATCATTTTTATAAGGCATAGTTGGGCGTGATAAGCCCACGACAATCGCTTCTGCGAAGTCGTAGATGCGACTCAAATTTCGCATCTGCGAAGACTCCAAGCCCATGTTTCTCCCACTTTTGCGATAAGCCCATGCTTCTCCTGTTTTTGTGATAAACTTCCTACCTCCCGCATCTCCAGAAATCTTCAGTAATGCAACAAGAGGAAAAATGATCTGAACCTTATCTGAAACTCATCCGAACCACTCGGGACCCCGTCCGAATATACTAACAAGTCCCATAACATAACACAGGCCTACTCGAGACCTCATATCACACATAACAACATCGAAATGACGAATCGTACCTCAATTCGAACTTAATGAACTTTAAATTTTCAACTTCCAAAACTTGTGCCAAAATATATCAATTCAACCCGGAATGAGCTCTAATTTTGCACACAAGTCCCAAATGTCATAACGAAACTATTCCAATTTTCAGAACCATAATACGAACCCGTTATCCTCAAAGTCAACTCCCGGTTAAACTTATGAACATTCCAAACCTTCAAATTTCCAACTTTCGCCAATTAGCGCCGAAACCTTCTAGAAATATCCAAATGCAAATCCGGGCATATGTCCGAGTCCAAAATCACCATCAGGATCTAACGAAATCATCAAAACTCCAATCAGAGGTTAAATATTAAAAAGTCAAACTTGGTCAACTCTTCAAACTCTAAAGCTTCAATCATGAAATTCATTCTTCCAGATCAATTCCGAATAATCTGAAAACCAAAACTAATGATTCACAGAAGTCATAATATATCATACGATGCTGCTCAATAATTCAAATAGCTGAACGGAATGCAAATGTTCAAAACGACATCAGTTACAGAGGGCCAAAATTGGTCGTCAACAACTAGCACTCCTTACGAGTGTACTAGGCTGAAAGGTATTTTCCAACATAAACTTTGTTCATCCGATCGTCTTTGGTGCTGATCTGAGTAAATATTACACACACACACCTGCGTGGTTCTTTTACTAAAGGTTACTTCCCCGAACAGCTTCTCCCAACTTAGACCAATCAGCCCAAGTAAATTCTCAAATGAAATCTTTGCCAAAATCTTGGCGATTAGGATTTCGCCCCTGCTCACTAAGCTTATATCAGATAATCAATCTTGCTTTGATAAGGGTAGGATGATCACTCAGAACATCCTTCTCACTCAAGATAGTACAAGGGATCAGAAATAAAAAACAAGGGAAGAACAATTGTCATTAAATTTAACGTCTTAAACTTATGATAAAATTTTGTAGTGAAAAAGAAAAACCATATTACTAGCTGGTACAAATTTTGGACTCACATCCAATGAAAACAAGTAAAACAAAACTTTTGCTTGCAAGTAACATAATATGCCACAACTCCACATGTAACTACCAATTATAAAATTACTTGAAAATTGATAAACCTGGATTCTCAGCAGTGAATCCTCCATCAACAATAAAATTCTGGCCACTCACATACTTAGACTCATCACTTGCGAGGAAAAGAGCTGTTTCAGCCACATCCTTTGGAGTAAGTGTAGCACCATTTAATGTTGAATACACATCAGAGGCTTTCTTACCATTCATCTTTAAGTAATCCAAAGCTAATGGTGTGAGAACAAGATATGGTGATACACAATTCACACGAATTCCAAAACGTCCTAAATCCACTGCAGCATTCCTAGTGAGTCCTAACACACCATGTTTTGAACATGTATAGGCATGAGAACCACTACCACCTATGGTAGCAGTAATACTTGCAGTGGTAATTATGCTACCTCGGCCATTAGGGATCATTACTCGTGCTGCTTGTTTAGTCCCAAGAAATGTACCTGCAAATTAAAGTGAAATTTTCGCTTTTAGTCTTTAGATATGCTGACGAAATCTGGTTTTGGTCCTTGTAATATCTTGTCGATTAAGCACTTTCAACCTTCAACATGCATTTTTGATCTTTGTCTTTGTGAATCTTTACAAATTTAACAAATTATTAAGTGTTAAAAATCACTCAATTAAGCATAGTTGTATGTTAAATTTGTACTATTATTCTATATATATGGGGGTAACATAGTTCTAAAAAATAGTCTAATATATCATATTTCCTATGTAACAACATATCCCATAAGTGAATTTGGGGAGAGTAATGCGTACGAAAACCTTACCCTATCTTGTAAAGATAGAGATGTTATTTCCGATAGATCCTCGACCAAGACAAACATAATCACAACAGTACTGAAAAGAAATACGGTAGTGGAGAAGCCCAGTGGCGGAGGCAGAATTTTCGCAAAAGAGGTTAAAAAAAAAAGTTAAAAAATTAAAAGAGATTGTGACTAGTGGGAATTGAATGAATCCCCTTAACTACCAAACTATGCTTTTGAGTTGTGTCAAGAGCATTCAAAATATAATATATAGAAGCACAAACCGAATTTTGCCTTATATGTACAGTGTAATTTTCCTCCGCATCTCTAAATCTGCCCCAAAAGAAGCCATAAAAAGAAGCAGGAACAATAACAAGATAATAAGATAACTGAAGCACAAGAAAACCGTAGTAATAAAAATCTAAAAAATTTTAGAAAATACGCATAATATACATACAACAGGTATGGAAAAGAAAGACGCTCGACTACCTTCTAGCTTTCTACCTTAATTTTCGACCTCCCCACCCTCCTATCGAATTAAATTTGCTTAAATATGCTTGTTGATAAGAAAATCCGTAAATATGCTTCTGAGTTAAATTTTCTTATTGATAAATCACAAGAACCAAAATCAAAATTTACCAACTATAAAAGAAGTGCAGTTATCCCGTACCTACGAGGTTAACACTAGTGACTTTTTCGAATTCAGATTTTTCATCTTCAAGAATGTTGGATTTGATTATTCCAACTATACCAGCATTGTTGTACATGATGTCTAGCTTGCCATACTTGTCTACAGCAGTGTTCACGGCATTTTCTAGGTCTTCCTCTTTCGTAATGTCACAATGCACAAATGTTGTCGATGTTGGATCCAAATCTTTGCAAACTTTTTGAGCCAACTCGTCTTGAATGTCTGCAATCACCACTTTGGCTCCATGTATTGAGAAGAGTCTCGCAGCTGCTTCACCAATGCCGCTAGCAGCACCTGTTATGATTGCAACCTTACCTTTGAGCCTAAATAAAATAATCATTATTGCACGTCAAATAAAAAATTAAGTTTCAAATATATGTTTTTTCAACTTCAATTTAAAATATTTTATTTTTTCAAACTTCGACCAAATCATGGAATATAAAATTTTGTGCACTGACATGTGTAACTCGGTAACCTAGAAATTAAAGTAAATAATATGTTATAATACGTAAAAATTGTATCGGTAGAGTAAAAATTCTTTACATTGTCCTTGTGTATAAGTAAAATCCTTTATCTAGATGTACGTATCATCAGCGTAACTTAGAAATATATTTTTGATAGAAAATAGGTTTATGAGCTAAATTTTGCCTAGCCGTTTCAAGTAATAACATAAACAGTAAGATAAATTGTTACAACACACAGTTCAAACAGTTATTAATACATGTTAAGTCAATAAGATATTATAAACAAAATTGTATAAGATACATGAAACGAAGAATTCAGGCTCCAGAAATAGTAGTTACGGAACAAAGTAGATAGGTATAGTTCTTTATTTCTCCTATATATATCGTTCTCGTTAGACTTCATATAAAGCAAGTTGAAGAACAAATGATGGATGACTTACCTTCTAGCAACATTTGAAGCCATGGAAAATGTAAGCTTCTCAAAGACTTGAAGCCTAATTAAAGAGTTCCAAAATGATATAGATATTTGTGAAAAATGAAAATGATTTCACAAACTTTGACACAGAATTTCTCCTTCTATAGCAACCTTTATATAGAACTAGTCCCAACATGTATGATTCCCCGCAAGTTGTTAAAAGGGCATTACTTTAAAGTATAAAAAATACCTTCTGAATGACAAAAATATTATTAGGCGTGACGCATAAACTGATCTATGTTTTAACATGCTTTGAATGAGGACTGTTGGGAGACTTTTACAGCTAGAGCAGTTCCACTTTGTAATAACTTTCTTTAATTAGAATACCTAAAAATATTTCTAAATTTGGCTCGGATTATTAGTTCTCTTGTTATTCCCTACAATTGGATATTTGAAAGGATTTACCTCCCAAACGATTTCATCCCACGAAAGTGGCATACACTCGCCTTCCACATGAATTTTTCAATCCACGTGGCATTTTAAAAAATAATAATTTATACTTTGTATTTTTAAAGTTCATTAATTTTTTAAATCATCTGTTTCGGGTCAAATTTGTTAAATGCTTGGCTAAAACTCCATAATTGGGGCTAATTTTTTTTATTTTGCCAAAAATAAGTGAGTTCCAAGTAATTTTTACAAATTTGGCCAAAAAAGAAATACTCATTTAAAATAAACAGGAATTGCATCTAAAGAAGAATAATAAGAAATACACAATTGGTGCTGCATTACTTTGGCTGAATTTTTTTTATTTGGCTAAAATGGAGTTCTAGGCTTCTGGCCAAGCTTTTATTTATTTATTTATTTATAAATTTGGCCAAAACAAAAAAGAAGAAATACATTATTGAAAACAAATAGTCATTGCATCTATGGAAGAAACTAAAAATATGCAAAGTTGGGGTAACATATGCATTCCATAATACTTTTGACTAAACAAAACCTTGACCAAACATGTTATAGGTACTAGCTTAAATATGGAAAAACATATCGAACATGTTTCACTTTATCCCAAAAGCACAACACGGAACTTAAGGGTGATATACATATATATTCCTGTTTAACAATATGATATTTAAAATTACTGACCCAACTAATTTAAATTTGTATTGTATAGCTATATTTAAGGGTAATAGCTCTCTACCAAAAAATTCTAAATTCGCAACCCGAAGATTTGAACCCAAGACCTTTGACTTTAATATATCACGATGCTACTTTTAATTCGTTAAAAATAACTATTTTGATTTTAGTTTTTCTAAATTCCAACCCTTAAAATGTCTCGGCAATACATTTATTAAATTTTTATGTTATCTTAATTTTTTATTTTTCTATCATAGATAAACATACATAACCAGGATAGAGAAACAGTTTATTAAATGTGGGTATATATATATTTTACTATAAATATGAGGTAACCAACAACAAGTCCAAATTTTGATGTGTTGGCAGCGTGATCGCATTTATTGGGTCAGACTTGTAAACAATCCATAAGGAACTTTGACAAAATAATAAGCAAAGAAAGAAGATAAATACATGGTTTTGGATACAATATTGTTAAGTTGTATCACAAATCATCTTTTAACTATTAGATTGTATAGCTCAAAACAACAATAATAATGACTATGCTTCAATGCCAAACAAGATGAATCAGCTATATAAATTCCTACTATTCATGACGCTTAGTTTAAACTCGGCTAAGTCCAATATTATATGAAATGAAATTAAAAATGAAAAGTAAAAATAAAAGAAGCAGTAAAAAGTTTCTACAATTTCTATCGACAAGTAAATTTCTAACGGGAATAAAAGTGATCAAGTATGAATAGAGGCTAAGCTATTCAATATTTATAAGTATCTTATTTCAGTTTTTTCCAAATCCAACCACCAATCCAAATGAGACAAATCCTTGTTAAGTGGGGATTTAAACAGTAAAAAGCACGCCCATATGAAAGATTCTAAACTTGCGTATGGGCTGACGTACTCGGAGGTAGTTGGCGATTTGAGAATGTGCTTTTCTTAATAATGCAACGTAAAGGACCCATAATTTTTTTTTTCGAATTTTTTTTTCAAAAATATTTTTGTAATTTTTCGAAAATGAGTTTCTCAAAAAATTAATTTTTTCAAATTCTTTTTCCTCACTCACAAAACTGTAACTTTTTTCAAGTGAAATGTATATCCAAATATAATTTCAAATTTGAAATATGATTTTTCCCAAAAATAACAATTTTTATGTCCAAACGAGATCCATCGGTAGGAGAAGGGTCAAATGTTCAATGTACTTCATCTCTAATTTTATTTATTTTATATCAAGGTCATGAATAAATTGCCTGGCGTGTGGCATATATAATTTTCTTCCTTACAGTTTAACCATCGAGTACCCGTAAGGTTATTTCATTTGAATAATTCACATTCACATTCACATTGAGTAAGTTGATCACTAATTTTGAGACAAATGTTTTAGTGAAAAGATTTTGTTATTTTTTAGATGCACCTAGATACAAGAGGAGGGGATGAATTGTATCATACTCGATTTTTGCGTGTTAAAGAACATGGTTCTTTCATGTTTTTTAACCTAAGAATTCTTGTCACGACCCGATCGGTCGTTTTAAGTGTTGTAGTCCCATTTTTTTATTTACTGTTTATTTCATGCTTAATTGTTGCTATGTGACTTGCCGGGGTAGTTGGTTCGGTTCCAGGGATGTTTCGGAATGTGTTGAGACATTTAGTCTCAAGGTTGGAAGCTTAAGTTGAAAAAGGTTGACCGGATATTGACTTATGTGTAAATGGCTCAGGAATGGAGTTTTAATGGTTCTGATAGCTCCGTTGGGTGATTTCGGACTTTGAAGTGTGTCCGGATAGTGACTTGGAGGTACGCAGTTGATTTAGGATTGAAATGACAAAAATTGAAAAATTAAAAGTTTTGAAAATTGAGAAGTTTGATCAAGAGTTGACTTTGTGGTTACCGGGATCGGATTTTGGTTCCGGGAGTTGGAATATGTCTGTTGTGTCATTTTTGACTTGTGTACAAAATTTGAGGTCAATCTGACTTGATTTGATAGGTGTCGGCGTCGAATGTAGAAGTTGGAAGTTCATAAGTTCATTAGGCTTGAATCGATGCGCAATTCATGATTTTAGTGGTGTTTGATGTGATTTGAAGGCTCGATTAAGTTCGTATCGTGTTTTAGGACTTGTTGGTATGTTTGGTTAAGGTCCCAGGGGCCTCGGGTTGGTTTCATATTGCTTTAGAGGCTTGAAATTTTAGAGTGGAAATGAGAGCGTATCACCATAGATTTTGTAGTTGGGCTCCCACGAACTTCAAGGAAATTTGATGTTATTTGGGTGATTGTGGATTGGTTGACCAAGTTCACGCATTTCATTCTAATTGGGAATACCTATTCTTCGGAGTGGTTGGCTGAGATTTACATTCGCGAGATTGTTTGCCTTAACAGTATGCCGGTGTCTATCATTTCAGATTGGGGCACATAGTTTACATCGCAATTTTGGAGAGCAGTGCAGCAAGAGTTAGGCATACATGTTGAGCTGAGTACAACATTACCGGCAGTTCGAGTACACTATTTAGATATTAGAGGATATCCTACGTGCTTGTGTCATAGATTTCAGGGGTTCTTGGGATCGGTTTCTGCCGCTCGCAGAGTTTTCCTACAACAACAGCTACCAGTCGAGCATTCAGATTGCTCCGTATGAAGCTTTATATAGGAGACTGTGTCGGTCTCCGGTGGGATGGTTTGAGCCAGGTGAGGCCTGGTTATTGGGCACTGACTTGGTACAAGATGCTTTGGACAAGGTTAAATTGATTCAGGATCGACTTCGCACGGCGCAGTCTAGACAGAAGAGCTACGCCAATCGGAAGGTTCGCGGTGTTGCTTACATGGTGGGGGAGAAGGTACTGCTCAAGGTTTCACCCATGAAGGGTGTTATATTGGACCGTTTGAGGTGCTTCAGAGGATTGGAGATGTGGCTTACAAGCTTGACTTGCCGCCTAGTCTGTCGAGTGTTCATCTGATATTTTATGTTTCTATGCTACGGAAGTATGTCGGCGACCCGTTTCATGTTTTGGATTTTAGCACGGTTCAGTTGAATGGTGATTTGACTTATGATGTGGAGCCGATGGGCATTTTGGATCGGCAGATTCTAAAGTTGAGGTCGAAAGACATAGTTTCGATGAAGGTGCAATGGAGAGGTCAACCAGTTGAGGAGGCTACTTGGGAGACAGAGCGGGAGATGCGGAGCAGCTATCCACGCCTATTTTTGACTCCCGGTATATTTCTAGACCCATTCGAAGACGAACGTTTGTTTAAGAGGGGGATGATGTAACGACCCGACGGTCGTTTTGAGTGTTGTAGCCCCATTTCCCTATTTACTATTTATTTCATGCTTAATTGTTTCTATGTGACTTACCGGGGTAGTTGTTTCGGATCTGGGGATGTTTAAAAATGAGTTGAGACACTTAGTCTCAAGGTTTGGAGCTTAAGTTGAAAAAGTTGACCCGATATTGACTTATGTGTAAATGGCTCCGAAATAGAGTTTTGATGGTTTTGATAGCTCCGTTGGATAATTTCGGACTTAGAAGTGTGTCTGTATAGTGATTTGGAGGTCCGTATTTGATTTAGGCTTGAAATGGCGAAAATTGAAAAATTAGAAGTTTTGGAAATTGAGAAGTTTGACCGAGAGTTGACTTTGTGGTTACCATACTCAGATTTTGATTCTGGGAGTTGGAGTAGGTCCGTTGTGCCATTTATGACTTGTGTGCAAAATTTGAGATAAATCGGACATGATTTGATAGATTTCAGCGTCAAATGTAGAAGTTTGAAGTTCATAAGTTTGTTAGTCTTGAATCGATAAGAGATTCATGGTTTTAGCGTTGTTTGATGTGATTTGAAGCGCCGACTAAGTTTGTATCGTGCTTTAGGACTTGTTGGTATGTTTGGTTGAGGTCCTGGGGGGCTCAGGTTGTTTCAGATGGTTAACGGATAAAAAATGGAACATGGAGGATTGTCAAAGCCTGCTAGTGTGGAGTCTTCTGGTTTCCAACTATGCGATCGCGTGGATAGGTCCGCGATCACGAAGGGTTGTTGGTC